GCCTGGAGCGAACTGCCGCATTTCATAGTATTCCCGGTAGTTGGGCAGGAAGGTCTTAGGCACGACGCCCAGAATACGGCCCTGATGCAGGACCGCGGCGCAGTTGAACAGCAGATTGTCCACCTGCAGAGGCAGGCCGACGACGGCGATCAGATGGGTTTCGCGCACTGCCTGGAGCACGGTACCGAGCGCCTCCTGGGCGCCGGCGAGGAGTGTTTGCTGATGAAACAGGTCTTCGCACGAATAGGCCGTCAGGCCCAGTTCCGGGAATACCACCAGCACGGCTTTGGCGGCCTCGGCTTGCTCGATCAGCGCCACTGTACGGGCGGCGTTGAACGTCGGGTCCGCCACCCGCACCTCGGGAATGCCCAGGGCGACACGGATGAAACCGTGCTGGTAAAAATTGAAAAAATTGCCGTGTGCCTGCACCATCCAATCCTCGCAATGACCTTGAATTCACGCCGGTAACGGCGCGTAGCCTGCATCACGCCCACAAAATTGTCAACACGACCGAAACGGCACGGCCGGCGGGTGCGAGCCTGGCCTTTCGGCTTGTTCGGCCCAAGGCGCTTGGCCATAATAGCGCCTTACTTGAGACCCTTCGGCGACTTCTTCAGAGGCCAAGCTGCACTTGAGCGAGCCACGAGGAAACGGGATGAACGTCCACACTTGGCACCTGGAGATCGGCACCTTCCCCGTGCGGCGCCTTGCCTTTGCCTCCCGAACCGCCTACGAAAACGGCACCCTGTTCATCGACGACGCGGAACTCCAGACCCGCATCGCCGAGCCCGCTGCTGTTGCCGATATCGCCGTGCATCTTGCCCACCCGGGCGAATCGTGCCGCATCGTGCACGTTCTGGATGCCGTATCGCCAATGGTCAAAGTAACCGGCCGGTCAACGGTCTATCCCGGCTTTTTCGATTCCGCCTCGCCGGCCGGCACCGGCCGAACCCACGTGTTGACGGACACCGCGGTGCTGGTCAGCGGCACGTTTCCGGAACCGACCAGCGGCGCCCTGTCGGCGGCCGAGGCCACCGTCGACATGAGCGGGCCGGCAACGGCTTGCTGCCCCTTTTCGGACACCGCCAACGTGGTCCTGGTCTGCGGCCCGGCCCCCGGCGCCAGCAACGCCGATTTCGATGCCGCCCTGCACCGCGTCAAGCTCAAAGCAGCCGTATACCTGGCCGAGGCCACCGTAGAGCTTGAGCCGCCGCAGACCGACGTATACGACTTGCAGCCCGTTGACGACGCCCTGCCCCGCGTTGTTTTCCTGGATCAACTCCACCAGCAGGGCCTGCTGGCGCAGACGTTCCTGTACGGCCGGCACACGCAGGGACTGGAGCCAACCCTGCTGCACCCGAACGAAATGCTCGACGGCGCCCTGGTCAGCGGCAACTACCGGCAACCGGGACGCTCGATCACCTACGGACACAGCCGCAATGACTTGGTGCGCGAGCTATACGGGCGGCATGGCCGCGACCTCAACTTCCTCGGCGTGGTGGTTGGCCGCGGCTGGCAAGACACGCAGGCGCTGAAGGAACGTCAAGGCTGGATGATGGCGCGCCTCGCCAGCCTGCTGGGCGCGCAAGTGGCCATCGTGTCGGCGGACGTCGGCGGCACCGGCGGCAACAATACCATCGACTTCATGCAGACGATCAAGGCGTGCGAGCAAATGGGCATTCGCACCGTCGCCATCATGCAGGAGGCGGGCAACGCCGACGGCAGCAATCCGACCCTCGTCGATCACGTCCCGGAAGCCGATGCGCTGGTCAGCGTCGGTGGTGTCGGCTGGGACATCCCGCTGGCCCCGGCGGTGTCGCGCGTCATCGGCGGCGCCACCGTGCAGCCGAACCGCGCGCAGGAACCCCTCGATGCCGCCGGGCCGCTGCAAGTCGCGTGCTGGTACGGCGCCGTATGGAAGCGTACGTTCCAAGGTCTGTCGGCGGTGGACGCCTGACACCAAATGAAGGGCAACACGCATGACTGATGACACCGTTCGCCCCTTACGCCTGGTGCACTACCTCAACGCCTTTTTCGGCGGCATTGGCGGCGAGGCCGAGGCGCATCACGCCGTGCAGACGCACGCGGGGCCACTGGGGCCGGGAATGCTCTTGCAGAAATTATGCGACGGGCAGGCCGAGGTCATCGGCACCGTGGTGTGCGGCGACGGCTACTTCGGCGAGCAGGAGGAAGCCGTGGTGGAGCGGGTCCGGCAATACGTGCGACAGCAAGGCGCCGATGCCTTCATCGCCGGCCCGGCCTTCGGCTCCGGACGGTACGGGCTAGCCTGTGGCCGGTTGTGCCTGGAAATCGAGCGCCTGGGAATTCCCGCGGTTACCGGCCTGCACGCCGAGAACCCGGGCGGCGAGGTGTTCCTGCCGCAGCACATCTTCGCCGTGAGCACCACGGCCAGCGCTGCCGGCATGCAACCGGCTCTGCAACGCATGACGGCTTTGGCGCTCAAACGCGCCCGCGGCGAACCCCTCGGCTCGGCAGCGCAAGAAGGCTTTCTGCCGCGCGACGTGCGCCGCACCGTGGACACCGGCGTGCCGGCGGCGAAACGCGCGGTAGACCTTGCACTGCGCAAGTGGAAAGACGAACCCTACGCCAGCGAAATTACCGTTGAGACCTTCGAGCCTGTGCCCCCGCCGCCGCCGCTTGCCGACCCGAGCCGCACCCGCTTTGCATTGGTCACCGAGTGCGGCCTGGTGCCCAAGGGCAACCCCGACCGCCTGCCCGCCGCCGGCGCCAGCCACTGGGCCGCCTATGCCATTGGCGACATGCAACACTTGATGCCCGGCGACTGGGACATCGTGCATGGCGGCTATGACAACACCGCGGCGCTGCTGGACCCGAATCGCGTCGTGCCTCTGGACGCCATGCGCGCCCTACAACGGGAGGGGATCATCGGCGGGCTGTTGGACGACTTGTTAGTCACCGTCGGCAATCTTGCCAGCCTCAACGCCATGAAGAAAATCGGCGCCGAAATGGCCGCCACCCTGAAGCAGCGCGGCGTCGGCGCCGTCGTGCTACCGGCGACGTGAGGCACCGGCACGCGTAGCGGTGCTACGATCGCCAAAGCCTGCGAACGCGAGGGCATTCCCACCGCCCTGGCCACCTGTCTTTACACCGTCGCAACGCGCGTCGGCGCCAACCGCATCGTGCGCGGCGGGCGTTTCCACCATCCCTTCGGCGATCCGGAGGACCCGCCGGCGGCGCAATACGCCTGGCGCCGCGCGTTTGTCGAGCGCCTGTTGCACGCCCTGCGCACGCCGGTTGAGAAGCCGACCGTATTCGACGTCGAACCAACCATCTGAGCAAACGGAGCCCCCATGATCGACTACACCGTGTACAAATTAACCCACTTCCTCGGCATCATCATGATCTTCGTCAGTCTCGGCGGCGTCATGGTCCACGTTTTCAACGGCGGCGCCAAGGCCGACAACGTCTGGCGCAAGCCGGCGGGCATCACGCACGGCATCGGGCTGTTTCTCGTCCTGTTGGGCGGCTTCGGCATGATGGCGCGGCTCGGCATTCCCTGGCCGTGGCCGGGCTGGCTGTTCGTCAAGCTGGCGATCTGGCTGGTGCTGGGCGGCATTACGGGGCTCGTGTACCGCCTCGGCGCCGGCGGCAAGAGCCTGTGGGCCGTGGTGGTGCTGCTCGGCGCCATCGCCGCGTACATGGCCATCATGAAACCCCTGTAACACATGTAGGTCGGATGAGCGCAGCGTAATCCGACATTTCCTTCCAAGGGGGATTACTTATCCATGCCAGTCGTCAAACTCGACATCACACAACGCGAGCCGTTTGCCAACGGGGAATCCTTCGACCCGGCGGGGCCGTACGAATACCTGCGGGGCACAGCGCACTTCGCGGTGGACCCGCTGCACCCGCGCAACGCCGCCATAACCGACTTGGAGCTGGCCCCGCGCGAGGCGGATGGCACGGTGGCGTTCTCGGCGCAGTTCGCCATGCTGCAGCCGACAGATCCCGAGCGCGGCAACCGTCGGATGTTCTTCGACGTGATGAACCGCGGGCGCAAAACGGTTCTGCCGCGTTTTAACGACGCTCCGGACATTGTGGACCACAGCCTGCCGCCCAAGCCGGGAAACGGCTTTCTCATGCGCCGGGGGTACACGGTGGTATGGTGCGGCTGGCAGGCCGACGTGCCGCCGACGCCGGGACTGATGGGCCTGCAAGCGCCGGAAGCTCTCGGACCGCAAGGTTCGCTGCAAGGGCGAATCCTGTGCCAGTTTCAAGTCAACGAACTAACCTCGCAATTGCTGCTTTCCGATCGCGAACACACGCCGCACCCCGCTGCCGACGTCAACGAGGCCGAAGCACTTCTGCAGGTGCGCGACCACCCCAACGCGCCGGCCACCGAAATTCCACGCGCGGCGTGGTCGTTCGTTCGGATGGATGGTGACGCAGCGCCGAATTACGTGCACCTGCACGCCGGCTTCGAGCCGGGCCGCATCTACCAACTGGTGTACATGACGCGCGGCAGCCGCATCGTCGGGCTCGGCTTCGCCGCGGTGCGCGACATCGCCTCGTTCCTCAAGCACGGCAGCGCGGGCGACGGCAACCCTTGCGCCGGTCGGCTGGACTACGCCTACGCCTTCGGGGCCTCGCAGAGCGGCCGGTTCCTGCGGCAAATGCTCTATCACGGCTTGGTGGAGGACGAGGCAGAGCGGCTGGCCCTCGATGGTGTCATCCCGCACGTAGCGGGCGCCATGCGTGGCGAGTTCAATCTGCGCTTTGGCCAGCCGTCGAAGGACGTCTGTTTCATCATCCCGGAGTTGTTTCCGTTCACCGACACGCCGCAGACCGATCCGCTCACGGGCCGCCGCGGGGCCTTGCTGGAAAAACCAGAGGTGCGCGGCAAGGTGCCCAAGGTCATGTTCACCAACACGTCGGCAGAGTACTGGCGCGGCGACGCGGCGCTCATCCACACCGATCTGGAAACGATGCGCGACCAGCCGGAATCGCCGTCGGTGCGGCGCTACCATTTTTCCGGTACGCACCACACCTCTGGGCTATTCCCCCTCGCCGGGTGGCGAACCGCCGACGGCATGCGCGGGCAATTGCCGTTCAACACGGTCGATTTCAACCCGCTCCTGCGCGCCGCCCTGATCAACCTCGACCGCTGGGCCAGCGAAGGGGTGCCGGCTCCCGCCAGCCGCCACCCGTCCCTGGATGACGGCACCAGCGTGCCTTCCGACAGCCTCGAGACGGCCTTCGCCGGCCTGCCGGGCGTGCGCTTTCCACGCAAGGTGACGCGGGCCATGCGGCTCGACTACGGCCCCGAAACCGAACATGGGCGCACCGTGCGCCTCCCGGCTGCTGAGGGAGAAACCTACCCGGCACTGGTTTCCGACGTGGACGCCGACGGCAACGAACGGGCCGGGATTCGCCTGCCCGACGTCACCGTGCCGCTGGCCACCCACACCGGCTGGAACCTGCGCCACGAGGCCGTCGGCAACCCGGACCTGGTCATCGGCATTACGGGGGGACTGGCCGGCTGGACCCTGCCGTTCGCCGCCACCCGCGACGACCGCGAGACGGGCGACCCGCGCCCGTCCATCGACGAGCGTTATTCATCCCGCGAGGAATACCTGCACCGCGTACGAGCCGCCGCGCAGGAACTCATCGCCGCAGGTTATGTGCTGGCGGTGGATTTACCCCGCATTGTGGCTGCGGCGGGCGTACGATACGATGCCTTCAGGCATGGGAAGTGAATTGGCTGGACCTTGGTAGGTTCCTTGCACGGCGTGGGTCCGGGCTTTGGCAGGGATAACCGTCAACAACTTAGAGCGTTTTCGGTTCAAGACGACTTGCCATCCGACAACCGCCTCCCCCTCACCCCAACCCTCTCCCACCAGGGGAGAGGGGGTAAACCAAGTTGCCGGTTTGTACCGATAGGGAGAGGGGGCGTAAGAGTCCATCCATTGTAATATGATTCGGAAATACTCTAGAGGCTGGGGGGAGGCTATGAAAATGAGCACTGAATACACCGTCGTTATCGAGAAGGACGAGGACGGCTACTACGTAGGGAGTGTTCCCGCCCTTCCGGGTTGTCATACCCAAGGCACGTCAATTGATCAGTTGCTCGAACGGATGCAGGAGGCAATCGCCCTGTGGCTTGAGGTTGAGGGCGAAGACGCGCCAAAACCGCTTGAATGGGTCGACCACTCGACAAACTTCCTTAGGAGGTCGTAAGAAATGACTGCTACAGCTTCCACGAACGCAGCCACCACCCTTGTGCAGGATGCCAGTCGGTTCAACGATCAGTTTGGCGAGATGAGCCCGCGGGCCAAGGACAAGGTCAAGGGCGAGATGTCGGAATTCGTGCAGGCGTTCATCGCTGCTTCGCCCTTCGTGGTGATAGCCACGGCGGACCCGGACGGCAATTGCGATGCCTCGCCGAAGGGCGGCAAACCCGGATTCGTCAAGGTGATTGACAGCAGGCGCCTGTTGCTGCCCGACGTTGCCGGCAACCGGTTGTTCCAGTCCTACCAGAACATGGACGACAACCCCCACGTCGGCCTGCTGTTCATGATTCCTGGCCTTAACGATACGGTGCGTATCAACGGCACCATAACCATCGTGGACCGCGAGGAGCTGGAGCGGCAGAAAGTGGCGTTGTCCCTTTATTGGACCGACGACAACGCCAAGCACCTGCAGGGCGTCATCATCAACGTGGAAGAGTCCTACACCCACTGCCCGCGGGCCTACAACTTCGCCAAGCTGTGGGACACGGAGCAGATTACGACGAACCGGAGCAGCCGGCCTATACCGCTCGCGTCGTAAATCGCTGGCTTCACCCTGCCCGCGACACGAACCCTCTTCAAATTTGGAGAGGGTCTTCTCATCGTTTCAACTCTCCCAAGAGGTCGAACCGCCCGGCGCTACAGCGGCTCGGCTTCCCCTTTTAGTCATCCATTCTGGCACACGTCAGGCACGCTTCAGAGTGTCCGGCTTGAACGAGGCTCGGCGGGCGGGATAGCGGACGTATTCGCGGCCGGAAGCTTTCTGCCGGGCCCGAATGTCTCTGAAAATTGCTTCCACATCGTAATCGAACCGGGCTGCGTGCTGGTCTCGTACGGCCCGTAGTTCGGCGATGATCGGGTCAGTCTGCGTCGCATGTCCCTCATCCATCAGAAGACGCTCCCGACAATGGGCCAACCGGCCGCGCGGTCGTCCAAAGAATCGCGGCGATCCGCCGGGCCGTGTCGCTGACGTGCTGGACTTCGCCGGGCTTGAGCGGGCGGTCGAGGATGGCGCGCTCGCGGTACGACAGCCACTTCTTGAGCACTTGGTAGCCGCCGAGCCGATAATCCCAGACGGCGGCCGGAACGTTGCGCCAGAAGGCGCGGGCGTTGAGATACACGTCGAACGTGGTTTCGCCAAGCGACGGCATGACATCGCCCATCGCCGCGCGTTCTGCCGGGGTGAAAGCCCGCTCCACGACACGACCCTGCCCAGGCATCACCGCATCGCCCGCACCGAAATGCCCCCACCCCGCGGTCACCGCGAATCCTCGCCAGACATATTGCGCCCGTCCGTCGTGGCTGGCACGGCGATGGCGGCAATCTCCGGGCGCAGCGGCGCTTGCGTGACGCCCGGAACCGGCGTGTCGGGATCAAGGAGAGCCGCGAGTTCGCGTCCGCGCGCGGCGGATTCGACGAGTGCCGCCGCCGCGCCTTTGGCCCCGCCGTCCGGCCAACCTGGGAGAGGGATGCGCGCCCCCTCAGCTCGTAGCGCATCAGCGTTGAGCTCGTTGTAGGCGAGATCGTGGAGCACGGCAATGACGTGGCAGAACAGGTCCTCAACACCCTCGCCCAGACGATTGAGATAGCGTTGCGCTGCTCCCGAAAGATTGGGACGGCGACTTGCTTCCCTGCCGTTGGCTCCGAAACCATCATCGGTTAACTGCACCGGGACACAATAAACACCGCTGTTCATCTGATTCAGGTCACCGATATTCGAAATAACCAGCGGGGGCGACAAGTCGGGTCGTGCCTTGTTCTGTAAAACCAGCCACAGATTCCCCTCGCACACGTGCGGCCGATAATCGGCACGTTTCTCGTCCAGCAGCTTCGTTTCCGCCTCCCAATAGAGCCACCGGTTGTCGAACGGCCGGTAAGCGAAGCGTATGAAACCAGCCTCGTCCGGCCCACCGCGCTTCAACAGGGCGTCGCGCACCGCGCGGGCATCGAACCGCGCCGTGGTTTTCATCACCCCCGGATAGCGCCGCGCAATTTCCTCATGGCTCAAGCCCACGTCGAAGTAATCGGCGACGCGCGCCCGGAGCCGGTCCAAGTCAACGTCGACGAGAAACCCGTCACGGCTGGTCTTAACGCCGGGAAACGACACCGGAAACAGATCGGGCAGTGACGGCCAATCGAACCACGAAGCGCTCACCGCGGTTTGCACGAACGGAAGGCCAAGGGGCAGGACGGGCTTGACCTCTTGATAGAGCGCGACCGGTTCCGCCTCAGCCGTTGCGATTAACTCCGCCGGCTTGGCCTGACCCCACAGGTGCCGGAAGCCGACCGCCTCCACAGGCGCGTGGTCGGCCTTGCGCACCAGCGTCGTGATGGCGGTGCCGACCTGAATGCCAACCGGATCGCCTGCCGCCGAGAAAATGCTCGGGTCCGGCGAGCCGTCCGGCGCCACCTTGCCGGTCTTGTACTTGTCGCCGTTCAGGCAGTCGATGCGGATGGCGTCGAACGCCTCCAGATAGCGCTCCCGCATGCCCGTGAACGACAGCCCGTCGAGCCACGAATAGTTGGAGATGAAGCAGACCACGCCTTGGCCGGTCTTGTCGGCGATGCGCCGTTCCGCCATGCGGAAGAACCGGACGTAGAGGTCGTTCAGCCCCTGCCCTTCGGGGCGGCGTACGCGCTTCGTCGAGCGGTAGGCTTCCGACAGTTCCCGTTCTTCGTCCACCGCCATGCCGGCGAAGCCGTTGTAGGGCGGGTTGCCGATGATGACGAGGACGGGCGTTTCCTGTTTGACGCGCTCCGCCCGGTCACGTTCTTCCTCCAATTCGGGAAACGGCAACGGCTTGGTCGTCCTCGGTTCCCAGCCGGTGAGGGCATTGGTGAGGAACACGCCGGCGCGTTCGGTTTCGTCGTCCGCCAGCGGTGCGCCGAGGTCCTGCAGGGCCAAGCCGATTTGAAGATGGGCGACGACGAACGGCGCCGGCATGATCTCGAAGCCGAACACCCGTTGCGTCGCCGCCTGTTTCACCCGCGCGCCGGTGAGGGCGCCGAGGCCCTGTCCTTCGAGGTTGGCGGCGATGCGGCGCAGCACTTCGGCCAGATACGCGCCGGTGCCGCAGCACGGGTCGAGCACGTAGACGTTTTCCGCGGCGAGACCGTCCGGGATGCCAAGATCGTCCTTCAGCGCCTTGTCCACGCGGGCGACCATGTAGCGAACCACTTCGGTTGGCGTGTACCAGACGCCGAGTTGCTTGCGCAGGTCGGGATCGAAGGCTTCGAGGAAGGGTTCGTAGAAGTAAGGCACCGCCTCGCCCTCCTGGAAGCGGGCAAAGAAGGCGGGGCGATCCACCCGGTCGAGCGCTGCCGCGGTCCAGTCCAGCACCTCGACGAGGCCGAGCGGTTGCAGGCGGCCGGGATCGGAAAGCTGCTGGAACAACGCCCGCAACACGGGCGCGCGCAGATGCCAGACCGCGGTGCGCCGTTCGAATTACACCAGGTACGGCGGCGCCCGGCGCACCCCACATGCACCCAGCGGAGAAAACGCCGTAAAACAGGGTCTGCACCAGGGTTGAATGGAAGAAGTGCGCGCCGCGCTCTCCCTCAAACCGGACGCCGAGCGCCTCTTCCAAGGCGGAGCGCACTGCCTTGAGCGACGGGGAGTCTCAGTCTGGGCTTGGTTCCGGCGGGGCGGGCGTTGACCTCGACACGAGCGAGGCCGTCGCGGGCGTAGGACGCGAGCAGCCACGCCAGGTCCTTCGGCTCGGCCAGCGCCGCCCGGTGCGATAAGGCGCGGGCGAGATATTCGCCCAGTCCGGCGCCCACGTCACGGGCGAAGGTACGCGGCTTCTCCAGTTTGCGGCGGAAGTCGTCCGCGTTGTCGGCCAGCCGGAAAGTTTCGAGCTTCGCGGGGCGGCCTGCCTGGTTTTCACCCACCAACACGAAATCGCGTGTGTTCGTCACCAGAACCAGCCGGTAGCGGTTCCAGTAGCGGCTGACCTGATCGGAGTCCGCCGTGAGCCAGGCATCGTCATCGGCGGTCTTCACCTCGACCACGCCGCGCTCCGGCGTCTGGCCCTCGCGCGGCCGGCCTTTCTGCCCCTGCCTTGCCGTGTAGAGGCCGAAGTCGGGATGCCCGGCGCCTTGATCGGCAAGCTCGCCGACGCAGAACACCTTGGGCTTGAGCGCCGCGCCAATGGCGTCCAACAGATTGGCGAGCGGCCCGTAGCTCGACCGTTCCCCAGTCGCACCGCCTGATGCGCGCACCCGTCCAAGATCGGCGAAGTACGCCTCGACGGCCGCCGTCAGTTTTGTGTTCGTTGCCATCATCATTCCTGTGGCCCGGAAGGTATCGGGGATTGCTGGCCGACCGTTGCGGGATGCAACATTGTTGCAAATCAGCACACTCGCCAAATTTCCCCGCAGATCACGTCATAAGCGACGCGATTTCAGAGAATTAGCCGCCTCCCCTTCCCTTCGGCCTCTTTCGGGCCGTTGCATTCTGCATCAGCTCGACATCCCTTATCCCCACGTATCCATGATCTGACGTTCTTTCGTTCAAAGGACTTATTCGTTTGCCAGGGACTTGGCACGGTTTGTGCGTCTGTAATGGAACCGCTTGGTCGGCACCAAGCCGGTCGAGCTATACGACGGTCGGAGCCAACTCCGACAGCAGAAGTCTGTATGGAATAGCAGAATGACGAATGACCCATCCTGCCTGAACGAACGGCTTGGGAATTGAGCCACCCCCATCCGTGGAGGACGAACGGGAACATGGTCCACCCCTCCCTTTCATGCCGTCGCCACTTGCCGCGTCCTGCTTCCGGCAGCGGCATGGAATTGGCCACGTTACCCGGAAGGCCGTCGCATCGTCCTTCCCGCCATTGCCTCGCCTTATTTCGTCACGCCCCCTTCATTCAGGTTCCATACAGGCTGACTGCTGGCTTCGCGGCAAATGCGGATTGCGCTTCACTAATCCGACCTACAACTGACACCCGTGTCCGGGCGCGTAATGGCGGTGGCGCCGTCCTTAAACGGCAGCGCAGTTATTGCGGGAGGAAGGCACTGCTGGGTGGGGAACATTAGGATTGACGGGGGAAGGAAGCACCTGCAAAGGCCGCCATCGGCGATGACGGCCTTCGGTTGGCTGTGGGCGTAGCTGTCGGTCGGAACCAGGCTACAGGGCGGTGCCGACCGTGGCGAACGAATCGCGCCCGCGGGCATAAGAGCGAATGTTCTGCCCCGCGTTGCGGTTGACAAACTCGCGGCCCCACATGGGGTGGCGCATGCTGCGCACTTCATGCTCAAGGGTGAACAGGACCTTGCCGGTGTCGGGATGCACGATGTCCTGGAAACGGTACTGGCAATTGTCGCTTTCTTCGGTGATCAGGCCGTGCTCGTCCAGAAAGGCGTGCGGGCCGGAGAAATTAGCCACATAAACGGCGATGTGATGGCCGTCGTAGGCCGGAATGGCTTTCCGGGTTTCGCGGAAAACCAGCTTCTGCTCACAGCCGACGAGCACTTCGACGACGGCGCCGTTGGTGTCTTCCGACAGCGTGTAGGACGCCTGCATGATGGTCTTGTAAAACTGTCCGATGCCTGCCGCCGTGCCCCGCTTGACCGGAAACTCGACGTACGGAATGCCCAGGCTCATCTCACCGAATTCTTCTTGGTCCGGCGCGTGGCAGCGAAACTGGTTGCCCCACGGCCCGGTGACGTTGACGTGGCCGTTTTCTTCGGCGCAGGTGAAATGCGTGTCCGACATCTGCTCCTGCAGCGCCGTGAGGCGCATCTTGAGGGCCTCGAGATCGGGCACTACCAATCCGATGACGCCCCGCAGCACTTGCGGCTCGCGGGTTGGCAGGTGGAACTGCTGCTGCCCGACGTTTATCCACATGTTTTCGGCACTCACCATCATGTAGGGGTCACGGGTAAAGCCCAGGCCGGTAACGTAAAACTGCGTGGCCGTCACCTGGTCGGGGGCCGTCACGTTGACGTGCTCCATGGCCAGGATGTTGCCAACGTCTTGCGATGCACGGTCGAATATCTTCTTCATGGGAACCAGTCTCCTCAACATAAGCAGGAAAGGGTTTGATACCAAGGAAACGCGGCGGATTATAGCACAGGCGCCTCAACCGACGGTTCCGGCGCGGGCAGCGGCTTGCCCAGCACGTGCCGCAGGGCTTCCTCAAACTCCGGATAGCGGAACGTATAGCCCGAGGCATTGAGCTTGCCGGGCGCCACGCGCGTGCTGGCGAGCAGCAGAGCGTCGGCCATCTCACCGAACATCAGACGGACGGCAAAAGCCGGCACGGCGAACCGCGTCGGGCGCCGCAACACCCGGCCTAATGTCTTCGTAAAATCACGATTGCTGACCGGCTCAGGCGCCACCAGGTTGACGGCGCCGTGCAGGGATTCGGTCGTCAACACGTGGGAAATGGCACCCACGACGTCGTCCAGGGCAATCCAGCTCATGAACTGGGCGCCGCCGCCTAGCACGCCGCCGAGGCCGAGTCGGAACGGCGGCAGCATCTGGGCCAAGGCGCCGCCGGTAGAACTCAACACCACGCCCAAGCGCAGCGACACGACCCGGATGCCGCGTTCCGCTGCCGGCGCCGCGGCCGCTTCCCAATCGACGCAGACACGCGCCAGAAAGTCTTCCCCGGCGCGGCTCTCCTCCAACAGCAGGCGCTCGCCACGATTGCCGTAATAGCCGATGGCCGAGGCGCACACGAAGGTTTTGGGCGGCTTGACGACCTGCCGCAGCGCCTCGCAGAGGATCTGGGTGCCGCGCACCCGGCTCTCATAGATGCGCCGCTTCTTGTCCGCCGTCCAGCGCCCGACAATGCTCTCACCCGCCAGATGCACGATGGCATCGACGCCTTCCAGAACCTGCGGGGGCATGCGCCCGGCCTCCGGTTCCCAGGCCACTTCTCCCCATCCCGGACGCGCCCGCCCGCGAACCAGCCGGGTTATCCGGTGCCCCGCCGCCTCAAGTTCAGGCGTCAAAGCCGAACCGATCAGTCCGCTTGTTCCGCTTACGAGTATATGCATGGCCTTCTCCAGTAGGCGTGCCAGACCTGGCCTCAAGCCCAAGCCTATCCCAGCGACACGATGCCCTCTGCCACCGGCTTGAGACGCTCCAGAACCAGGGGATCGTGGCCGGGGACGATCAGCTCCGGCTTGTCGGCCAGTTCCCGCATGCGCTCAAAGCTGTCGTACATGCCGGGCAAGTCGTGCAGCACCATGAACGGCACGTCCTTCTCGATGTTGTGATAATAGTGCGATGCGTCCGTGGCGAGCACCGCCCGTCCCAGGGCGGTCTGAGCGGTGACGATCTGCAGGCCGGCGGTGTGGCCGCCGACCCGGTGTACGTGCACGCCGGGGACGATCTCGCGCACGCCGTCAACCAGCGTCAGCCGCCCCTCGTAGTTGTAACGCACCATGGCCACCACATCATCCACCTCGATGGAACGCCGGAAGGCGGCGTGGCGCACGTACTTGCCCGTGTAAAACCGCATTTCGTCTTCTTGCAGATAGAAGGTGGCGTTCGGGAACAGGTCGTAATTGCCAACGTGGTCGTAGTGCAGGTGGCTGACGATAACGTGCGACACGCTGGCGCAATCGATGCCCAGTTCCGCCAGGCCCACCGACGGGCAGCGCATGAACTCGCGCCCGCGGCGGGTGCCGACTTCCTCCGTAAAGCCCAGGTCGAGACCACCGTGTGCTGGTCATTCACCAACGCCCACACGAAGTAGGTCATCTTCATCGGCGTGTTGTGATAATCGCCGTAGAACAACTCCGTCGAGGTAGTCTCGCGGCGGGCGTATTGCACCGCGTAGATGGTGTAGGGCGAGTGCGTCATACAGGCTTCCCCTTTCGCTCGTTCCGGCGGCGTGGGTGACCGCCAAATCGGAATGCCGGGCTACCCCTTTGCCTAACCCGACCTGAAGAGCTACGGACGCTCAAACAACGCCGCGACGCCTTGGCCGCCGCCGACGCACATGGTCTCCAGGCCGTAGCGGGCGTCGCGGCGTTGCATCTCGTGCAGCAGGGTGGTGAGAATGCGCGCACCGGTGGCAGCAATGGGATGGCCCAGCGAAATGCCGGAGCCGTGCACGTTCAGCTTGCTGTCGTCCTCCAGCTTCCATTCCTTCACCACCGCCAGCACCTGGGAGGCGAAGGCTTCATTGAGCTCGATCACGTCGATGTCGTCGAACGTCACGCCGGTGCGCGCGAACAGCTTGTGCACCGCCGGCACCGGTCCGATGCCCATGTAGGCGGGGTGTACACCGGCCACCGACCAGCCCCTCAGAAAAGCCATCGGCGTCAGCCCCAGCTCGTCGAGTTTGTCGGCAGCCACAACCAGGCAGACCGACGCGGCGTCGTTCTGCGAGCTGGCGTTCCCCGCCGTCACGGTGCCGCCTTTCGTCATTGGCCGCAGCTTGGCGAGAACCTCCAGGGACGTGTCAGGGCGCGGCCCCTCGTCCGCCTCAAACACCTTGGGGTCGCCGCGACGCTGTGGCACGCTGACCGGCACGATCTCGTCGGCGAACAGGCCCTGCTCCCGCGCCGCCACGGCGCGCTGGTGGCTGCGCAGGGCGTAAGCGTCTTGCTCCTCGCGCGAGATATCGTGGCGCTCGGCGAGGTTTTCCGCCGTCTCGATCATCCCGGAGATGAACCCGAAACGCTCCTCGGGGGCCACCGTGAAACGCGCCCGCGTCAGGCGGTCGTGCAGGGTCACCGAGCCCAGGCGGCTACCGCTCCGCATGTCCGTGCTGTAGAACTCCACCCGGCTCATGCTCTCGACGCCACCGGCGATCACCACGTCCGCGTTGCCGGTCTGCACCATCATGCTGGCGTTGAGGATGGCCTGCAGGCCGGACGAACAACGGCGGTCCAACTGATACCCCGGCACCTCGATGGGCAGCCCGGCCTTCAGGGCGCACAGGCGGCCGATCGCCGGCTCCTCGCCGCTCGCATAGCCGTGCCCCAGGATGACCTCGTCCACCTTTTCGGGCGCCAGGCTCGTGCGCTCCAAGGCGGCTTTGATAACCGTCGATCCCAACTCGGCGGCAGATACGTCCTTCAGCGCCCCACCAAAGCTCCCGACCGCCGTGCGAACAGGGCTGACAATGGCGACATCTCTCACGGTGTTTCCCCTTGTTTATGGAAAGGTTGTTGACGCGGGTGGTCCCTGAAATAAGGGCGCGAACGACTGTAGGATATTCGCCGGCCGCAAGCAACCGCCACAGGGTTGACCCTGTTCGGCAGGCCGCCGCACACTGCGAAGCTGACACAATCCGCAAATTTGCTTCATCCGCAGGCCAGGGTATGACGACAAACGAGGACAAACGAGAAGGAGATACACACAGGGTCGCACAAGCTGAATCCAGGCCAACGCCAACCTTGGCAAAGATCAAAGAATGGCTGGCCCTTGCCAGCGTCATCGTGGTCGTTGCAGGCGGCATCGCCGGCGAAAGAACGTCACCTCGGACCCTGTTTCAAGAACGGGGCAGGCTTTGATCCGGGGCCGGAGTCCAGAGGTTTTCGGACGTACAACGGCCCTGGATTCCGGCATGCGCCGGAATGACACTACGGTAACCTTGTATGACGCTAATCAATCTTGCAGGTTGATCCGCAACCGCCCTGGAAATCAACGTCGAACGCCAGCCGCCGTTGAAGCCGAACGGCGCCGAGCGGCGCGAGTACCGGAACACGCCGGGGGAGTCGACGATCACCGTGCCGTCCGGCGGGATGATCGTGCCGGCCCTGGACTGGCCAATCTCGTTTTTCTCCGGCATCACGTTGAAGATGATGGAACGGTCCTGGTTGGGGAAGAACGCATCGGACAGGCCTGCCGGCAGGTTCACCTTGGTGATTTCCGTTTCCGATGGTGTCGGGCGTCGAGCCGATGAGCCTGGCGGCTTCGCCTATGCCGGCCGGCTCGCCACTTGGCTCTCAAAGGCGTCCTCACGCTGACCGAAAGCGGTGCCTGCCCCCGGGTCACGGGTGGCGCGGCAGGCCGCCCGAAGCTCTCCGGCCGGCGTTCTCTGCCTCCTCCAGGATCCACTCGTCGAAACGCCTGTCACCTCGGGTGCCGTCTGCCGTGAGGCGGCGGGTGTGATCAGGCAGCAGCGATCGGGCGACTCGCATGGCGCTCGACAAAGCAGGAACCAGGGTCTCCCTTCAGCTCGCGGGCAATCAGATCGGGCGCGACGCGGGCCCCAGCCCGTGCACCGGCGCCTCCACCGCATGCTTGTAGAGACGGAAACGGACGCCTGCGACAAGGTCGGCGTGGGCGCTCAGCCTGGCGACGCGAACAAGTAGACACCAGTCGGCGTCCAGCCGAGATAGATAGAGCAGCGGCCAGCGGTGCAGGTCGCCCGGACGGCGCGGCCGGCCCCGCGCGGCGAGCAGGACCGGGCTGCACACCGGCAACAGGTCCTCCTCGTAGAGCGTCTCCTCCAGAAGCGGAGCGTCGCGTTACCGGGCGCGGCGCCGCAGTCTCGCCGGTGTTGTAGCAAGCCAGGCGTGGACGGAAGGTCGTGCTGGGCGGTCGACGCCCCGGTGGTTGGTCTCCAGCTCGATGGCGATGTCGGGATGCGCCACCTTGAACGACACCAGCCTCGGCACCAGCCACTTCTGGGCCACCGCCTCGACCGAGACGATGCGCACCCGCCGGGAATTAAGGCGTTGGCGCTCGGAGACGCCGTGGACGTCGGCCAGGATGCGCTGCACCTCCTTGAGATAGGCGCGGCCCTTGGAGTTGAGGTGCACACCGCGGCGGCGATCGAAGAGCCGTGCGTCGAGATGCTTCTCCAGGCTGCGGATGCGGTGGGCGACGGCGGCGGGGGTGACGCCGAGCTCGTCTGCGGCGTTGGCGAAGCTCTGGTGGCGGGCGGCGGCCTCGAAGAAGCGCAGGCTATCGAGCGGCGGCAGGGTCAGCATGGCGACTATCCAGAGGAGTCCAAAGACCAAATGTGGTTATGTCATCGCATCGAAGAGGCTTAGGACATGAAGTGATTATGTTATCGCATATCCGCGCGGTGCAGGCAAGGTCGGGCTGTGGCGGGCGCTAGAGCATTTTCGGATCAATCTGACTTGCTCGTTCGTCACCCTCCATCACTCCCCCCTTGAGGGGGAGTCGGCGAAACGGTACAAACCTTGGCGTATGATGCCCATCAGGAAGGCTCTGAGGGGGAGGCTCAGGGTGCGGGGACGAGACTCAGAGGGTGTTTGTGAATAGCGACGCCTTCCTGGGAGCGCGGGCATCTTGCCCGCTGGCTTCCGCTTGGCGGGCGGGAAGCCCGCGCTCCCAGAGCCTGCCCATGCCTCCCCCCCACCGGCGCGCCGACGGGCTGCGCCCTTGGTTCGCCGACTCCCCTTCAAAGGGGGAGTAATCAAGGTCACATGGATCCAAAAGTCCTCTAGCCGCCGTCGGCCCTCGGGTCCGCCGGCGGCTCGCGGAACAGGAAATCCTCGGCGCCGAGGTCGGAAACATCGGTGTCATCCAGCCGGATCGTGCCGTCGCCCTGCGTCTCGGTGCGCCGGTTGCCCGCGCGCCGGAGGGGCGCCATACACGAAACAGAAAAACCGTAATGCCTCCCATATGCCGCCCACATGGGAGATAGACAAAAACAGGAAAGACGGGAAGAAGGGCGGGCGGTGGCGATGCGGGACAGGTAGGGCGGCGACGCCCCGCCGGCGGTAAGGCAGGGGGCTGTCAGCGCCGCGGCAAGGCGTCCATGGCCAGCACCAGCCGCACCAGGGCCACCCGGCCAGGCAGGCCGTGCTTCCGGTACACCTGCTTCAGCAGCCAGCGCACGTAGCCTTCCTGGTAGACCGTCGCCTGGGCGATGTCGCGCACGCTGCGGCCCTCGGCCAACAGCGCCGCCACCCGGCCCTCCACGGGCGTCAGGCCGAGCGTCACCGCCACCCGGCGCCCACTGATGCGCGCATGCCTCGCGGGGTCCACCACCAGAACCAGGACGGCGACGCCACGGCCTCCCAAGTCCGTCTGATGAGCAGCCAGCGGGCTGACGTGCAACCCCAGGCGCGGCGCGCCGGAGGGGCGCCTCACCGTCATCGAGCCGCCACGCGGCGACTCGCCCTCGAACGCCGGCAACGCCCGCGCCAGCAGCCGCTGCAAACGGCTGTGGTCCGCCGGCAGCCAGGCGTGCAGGAAGCCGCCCTGATCCAACAGCCCCTCGCCGCGCTGCAGAAGGGCCAGGGCACGGTCGTTCGCCGCCACCAGGCGCCCGCGCCGGTCGAGATGGAGGACGCCGATGCGGCTGTTGTCCAGCAGGCGCGACAAGCCGGCCCCCAGGCCCTCGGCGGCCGCCAGCGCCTAGCGGACGCTGACGAAATGGCGGATATGCGGCAGCAGGCGCTCGGCCATGTCGATGTCGGCGGCGCCCCAGCCGCCCGCCTCGATGGGGTCGCCAAGGGCCCACACGATGCGCGAACCGGCCGGCCCGTCGAGGCGCACGTTCAAGCCCCGCTGGCTACCGATGCGGCGCAGTCCCTCGTTGTACACCGGCGAGGTCTTCAACTCCTGCTCGCTGTAGAGGTCGGGGACGTGAACCAGGCGGCTGTCGGGCAATTGCCGCAGGCGCGGCAGCCGTTCGTCGTGGGGGTGGTAGAGGTCGAAATACTCGCGCTCCAGGTCGTGGCGGCGCTCGCCGCGCCGGTAGTAGCCGGCAAAGAAGACGCACACGTCGTCGCCAACGCCTTCGCCGACGACCAGCGCATGGCCGGTGGCGCCGCAGGCCGCCTCGATCAGGGCCGAGGTGGACGGCCAGTGGACATCGTCGAGCATGGCCTGGTGCAGGGACGCAAGGATGCGGTCGAACGTATCGAGTCGGCTCATGACGCGACCTCCCGGACGACTTTCGGGTGCAGCCCGCCGCTTCGGCCGGCGGCGCCAACCGAGGGCCTCGAACCCGCAAGTGCCCCGCTTGCGGCGGTCGTGCCCCCGGACCGCACCGCCTCAAGACGGCCGGTTTGTTCCCGGTCATAGCTGGCGATATGGCCGCCGGGGTCGTCAACCAGGCCGGAGAGGCAGACCGTTGCGCCGGCGTCGGCAACCGGGTGCGGACCAGCCTGCAGGGTCGGCGGCTGGTTGACAGTGGTTGATTCTTCCCCTCTGTCTTCCCGGCCACCCCCGCACGCCGACAGAAGCACCGCCAGTACCGTTGTCGGCGGGTGACGCTGCGCCCGCGCCCGAGGCGCCGTCATGGCTTCGGCGCTCGGCAAAGGCCGGCGCCTTCAGCCGTCAACCCAAAAACTTCAAGCCGCTTGGCACAGATCAAGCTCATTACCCTGCGTCCCTCCCGAATCGCGTTTTTCAACCCCGGCGCGGCGGCCGCAGCCAAGCCGCTACCGGACGACAGAAGACTGTAACACAAACAAATTAAGTCCTTTGCATACAAAATTTTATTGTCAATGACGTACATGAATTTAGTCATCGAATGTCTCTCTCGATGCCTCATGACGCCCCATCGCACCCAGCCACAGGCATGAAACCGCATTTCACCGCGCCAGGTTGTTATGCCTTGTTCAATAGAATAATTTGTGCTATGAATAACTTGTGTTTGTTAATGGAATATCCACCTCTGACGCGATGCCATTGATCCGGTGAAACCTCTTCCTCCCCTCAACTGCCTGCGCTTCTTCGAGGCCGCCGCACGCCACCAGAGCTTCGCCCGCGCTGCGGACGAGATCGGCGTCACCGCCGCCGCCGTCGCCCACCGCGTCCGCTTGCTCGAAAGCCATCTGCGAGCCGATCTCTTCGTCCGCCGTTCTCGCAGCGTCCGCCTCAACCGGCGCGGCCGCGCCTACTTCAAAGAGGTCCAGCGCATCCTCCTGGACATCCGCCACAGCACCGAATTCCACGCCGACCGCCGCCGCTTCCGCAGCCCCTGAAACCCGCCGCCCGATCTTGCCTGCTCCGGGCGGACATGCGATAACATGGCCACGTTTGACATAATCACATTTGGCCTATGGACTCATCTGGATAGTCGCCATGCTGACCCTGCCGCCGCTCGATAGCCTGCGCTTCTTCGAGGCCGCCGCCCGTCACCAGAGCTTCGCCAACGCCGCAGGCGAGCTCGGCGTCACCCCCGCCGCCGTCGCCCACCGCATCCGCAG